AAAACTCCATCTAACAAATTACATAGTAATCTCAGACTTCCATATGGTAATACCTCGTTCATGTGCACAACATCCATTTGCAGCAAATGATGTGGAATATTAGGTTTACGCCAAAATTATAAAATAGTGCACAATTTCTCTACCTTTGGTTTCAACAGACGTAGAATTTATAAACGCTTTGTATTTTAGTACGCTTACGCTTATATCAGTTTGTTCTCTTTTGTATTTCCGGTCTGGTTCTGAATTATCTGAATGACCATCGTGCATCACTCGGCAAATTCATTGTAAAGAAACAAACGTAAATATATTTTTTAGAAAGCTCATAAATTTAAAGAGTCCAGTAGTATTTTATTTCTGTTCCATTAAAAAGCTGTGGTTGTCCATTAGATACATCAAAGTGCTTTTATTAATTTACTTATATTTCAAATGTAATTCTTTTCAAGAAACCCATCTTTTATGCATGATATATTGCGATAGCAGCCTCCTGAACGAAAGAAAGTCTTTGTCTACAAATACAGCAATAATAAACCGCACAAAAGCACAACAACTAAGAAAAATTCATTTAAGAAAATGAAACATTTTTATACATTTGCCGCTATCTGCAAGATTAAAATCTTTCAGCTTCAAAAATACAAGAAGAATTAAAACGCCTGTGTCACATTGTTAAATGTTTCGTATATTTCACATCCCTAAAGCTCCGAGCTTTGTGCCATAAATGATGTAGAGAAATAAGTGTTGATACAACATTGCACATTGCATGTTTCGTTGGGTCGATGGAGCTTTTATGAAAGCTTGTTAAACCTGGTGACTAAAGCACACATACAAGTGGCACATTTTTTACACGAGGGAGCACGTAGATTACTTTTAAGAGATACTACGGATTAAGCGAAATATCAAATGCACAACAGTTGATCATTTTCATTTCCATTATAACTGGAAATTGACAATCTTTTCCTGATTATGATTCAGCAGAGAGTTAACAAGCTCCTCGAGTACGGAATTTTCCTTAGGCAATCACAATGACTACAAGTTTAAAATTCAATACTTTCCTAGCTTTAACAAAACGAACTGTGGAATAACAAAATTTTTAATGTAGAAGAGTAGATATGCTAAGAACTCAAATATTCTTATTAAAAATCTGATTAGGCAAAATAAGATTTTATATAACTTCAATGGGGATTGAAGCCCTCTGGATATGTCAGTGGTAAGAAGCCAATTATGTAAACTCCAGGTGTCAATTTGATGTTCAGTACGGCGGAAAGCAAAATTGGAGTACTTTCTGGTTTTTCATTGGTCTCAATTTTCGCCCTAAATTACAAAAGTTGTCGCCAAGTTTTGTTTACTTTTTAAGCGCACTCAGGTTTCGTAAAAATGCAAAGTTCACCGATATTTTACCCGGAATTTGCAAAGGCGCTTTATGAAGCTTCCCCGTGAACACACAAACTGTACAGTTGAGTTGAGTTCATTTACATGAGAGCTGATAAGATAAGAGAAAATTCGTGTTAATTTAACTGTGGGGTATTTATTATCCACCCAATCCAGCGTATACAAGGTTAGAGCGATGACCGCATATTACCCACTTAATGTGCTTACATTGGAAGGAAATTAGGTACTAAATTAGAACATTTTATTATTTATATCAAAAGCACGAAACTTTTGGCTTAATTTTTATTTTGCCTGAAATCCGGGTTAAATTCGAATAAAACTAACATAGCCGAAACATGAATAATTGTTTTCGCGTTATCTGCATTCCGACGCTTAATCAAGTTTATAAAGTGAAATAAGTGGCACAGGATTTGAAATTAATTTTTAGTTCTCTGCCTTAGTTCTTTAAAATTACGGCGCACTGAGAAACCGCCATTACTTTGCTGATAACGTCGTTAGCAACAATTAGCCTTGTTCGCTCATCTAAAACAATTTTCATTTCTAATTAAAACGCGTTTTACTCGACCGATATATTAAATAATTCACGAGACCCTTAAATTCTAGGGCGGCTTGTAATGCATTTTAGAATTGCGTGTGAAATTAATTAATGTTCATGTATCGACTAGAGAATTAATTTTTCGATTTTTTTGTCGACTAGTAATTGTTGCTTCCTTCCATCTTCCAGTTCGCTCTCAATTCCCAGTCGCGCTTTTTCATTAAAACGTGAATGAGATTCGTTCGTTCATACAGTACTTTATAACGATTCAATTAGTACTTTTGCTGAAAAGTTTCCTTGTTAAAACAATCAAACTGTTCTTCTTGGGCTCCCTTACACAAATTTTTCTGCTTTACCCTCGCAGTAATAACAAAGCAAATTTATTTTGCAACGTTTAAATATAATTTCCACAAGTGACAACTAAAACTCATCAAGAGCACAGGAGTGTTTACATGAAATGAGGTCGCAAAAGAATTTCGAATATAACTGTTTGTTATCATGTTATCAACATAAACGTGTTGGTAGCAATTCACGTAATTAAATGCATAACTAGTTGAAAGTTTTAACCTAATTCTAAAATAAATATTATCTTTCCACTATTTTGATTACGTCGAATAAATTCTCCTCGAAAGTGCGTTTAGTTTCGAAATTAAATTGCTGAAACTTATGGTAGGTGGAAGTACGCATGTTGAGAATAAACCTAGTAATATCCTAACCACAGACCTTCTACTACATTTTGGAAGTACATACATATTTCAAGTTGCTGAAAGGTAGAATAAATGTTGTTATTTTAGTCCAAACTGAAATTAATCACATACATATGACCTAAAGAAACGTTCAAACTTTCAACAGTTATCTTTTATTATTACATATTTCACGTCATATAAATCTCCTAGTTAAGAAAATTTAAATTTTTAACTTAGTTTTCAGTTTTCATCATTAGCGTATACTAAAACGAAAATCTTATGTAAGTTCTAACCGAAATTAAGAATTTTCTTATTATTTAAAATTAATAGTAGATTATGTTATTAGGAGTAAAATTGATTGTTTATGTGGCGAAGCTGAACGTTCATTTTGCCGAACGGAGTGAGGCAAATAGATTCAGCTAAGCCACATAAACTCACTTTTAGTCCAAATAACATATACTATTTTATCTACAAACGATTCCGATGGAGAGAAAAGAGTAACACACCAATAATAAAGTAAATCACCTCAATAATCAGGATGCTTTGGAATAAAATCATAACAAACGTCACGCGTCAGTTTCGGAATTTGTGTTGAGATTTCGAAAGTGCTGATTGAGTTAACCAGTGAATAACTGGTGTAGTTTATAGTGCAAAATGTCGAATGCTGATAATCTACCTTGTACCTCTCCAGGAAATGCTGAAAAAGCGAAAGAGACAAGAAAGAGACAACAGTGGTAAAGTTCAAAGTAAGTGTCAAGTAAAAGTGAAAACGCCTAGGCGTAAAAACAGTATTTTTACGCCATGTCTGAAAAGTAAAACTTTTACCTGTGTCATTTAGTCATAAAAGTGGTCACTTTTGTGACGTTTGCAGATAAAATATTTTACAAAGTTTTCTAATCTTGAAGCATCTTTAAAAATTTGCTGCAGTTTTTTTATACTTCTACAAAATCCTTCCATATTTGTTAAAATAATTTTGAATAAACATTATACTACTATATTCTTTTGAGCTAAGTTTCAAAGTATTTCTATGCTTATTATTAAAAACAAAGATCGTTATTTTGTTTTTTCTGTTGCAAAAATTCTAAAAACTACAATTTTTATTCTACTATTTACATCTTATAAAATAGAAAATCTTCAGACATATAAACAATAGGTAAGTTTCTCGACAATAGTAGAAACAGACCTAATATGAAACATCTAAGTAAATGAAATTTTTTATAGGGAATTACAAACTAAAGTTTTACCTTGCAATTGAGGTATTCCTGAAATATATTAAAAGATGATTTTAAATTTTTTATAAAGAAAAATTATTTTGAGATAATCTTAGTAAATTACTCCTCATTCATTGTTAAGTTTCAACAATATAAAGAATTTCCCGTTTTTGTTCATTTAAAATGAGAACAAATTAAATGCACACTAAAATCATAAACGTACAGTAAAGACAATGAATGAATGTCTAGCAAAACTAATTAATTTAATATTCACACATTTACAAACAAAATGTTTCCGAACAATATCGGAATATCGTAAAGCGTTCAAAAACAAAATTGTGGTATCAGGAGCACAGCAGTGCAAAGAGTGACGTACGCTGATTACCATTTGTGGATTTGTGCACAGTTTCCAGCCCTTGCTAAAATCATTCTTGCGCAGGGGCCCTTGCTAATACATATACCACCCTCTAATAATAATAAATATTCAGTAATATAAAAATAAGCACTCATAATAAATAACATTCTTGCGCAGGGGTCATACATTTTATGTAACCAAGACTGAAAATTCTTTAAATTTTATGTTGTTTTACTAATTTTGATTAAAGTTACTGAGCGTTTATTATTTTTACTGTGCAAATTGAATTTTTTTATCGAACAAATTACAGTAAAATACTGGGCGAGGTTTACTTAGCATTTATTACATTTACTGTGCAAAATATTATATTATACTGATCATTTATCATTTTAAACTGATCAAAATTGAATTATTTACTGATCGATTTATTACTACCCATTTAAAATTGTACATATGTTAAAATTTTATTATTATATTATTCTGTTTTATTCTGTCTGGATACTATAAATAAATTAGAAAAAATAAATTTGTAATCAATTTTTAAATTTAATACGAATATACCTTAGTAATCATCTTTTGATCTAATAAATAACAAATTATCTAGATATTATCAGAACCGGATTATTTCATTATTGATTACAACAACAATTTCAAAAAATCGCAAACAGTTTTCAGTCACAAACAAAAACGTCAAATCTGCAACAATTACCATGTTTACATTGTTATCACGTCCCTTCACGTAGCTGGAATTGTCATATAGATAATGACTTCAATCAATTCTATTCAGCATTCGGTTATTTAATGAACTGAAACATTATTTTTTCCAGGTGCAATTTTCACGGAAGACCAGAAAGATAGCAGCGTAGAATTAGCATTTAAATATGCGGTCTACAAAATTAACAAAGATAGGGTTTTGCTTTCAAACACCACTCTAGTATACGATATCCAGTACGTGCCACGAGACGACAGTTTCCGAACATCGAAAAAAGGTAAGTTTAGTTTAATAAATTCGATCTAATTGAAAAGTGCAGCAATTGTAAAGAAAAAAAGAAAATTGGTTGGCAATGCTAATCGGAAGAACTTATCATAGTCGTAAAAATTTTACCTAGAGTGGCTTTATGTAGCGTCAAAGTCTAAAACATTAAACGAACGTGGTATAATAAACGTCTCGGACATTAGTTTATGGGCGCGCTTTCCTGGATATAGAACTCAATTTGTTCTTCCTGTTATCAGCACCAGTCCAGATAGGGGGATTATACGGATCCTCAATGTTTCTATTAAATTTCACAAATCAATGTTTTCCGAACACCAGTGACGATCGTAAAACGAACAATCACATGATAACCCAATTTCTCTGACAAAAACTCCAGTAATTATCAAAACCAAGACGTCCCCAGCATATACTTGTTTGTATTGCATTAACCCAACTCAGTCGATGTTTGTATAAAATCTAGACGTTATTCGTTTTTATTTGATTAGGTTTTTGGCTTTTTCCTCGTATGAATTTCTGCAGGAAGTAAAAGTTCCGGGAAGTTTGAGATAGTTCAGTTTGTCGACGGAAATAAAAATAAACTACACGCAATAAATTGCTAAAAACGGCTAATATTGCTGTTCCTCTTCTAGACATACATGAGCAAATTCCGGTTATTAAGCGAAAAACACTCACAAAAAGGGGAGCCCACGAGGGCACAAGACACCTTGCAGAGCACAGAGACTTAAAATTGTTTCGAAATCGAAATCTCCTTACGGAGGATTTTCTAGGTGCGAAAGCCTACTGCAACGTAGGATTATTCAAAACCACAAGGAAGAGACACGCTGCGGTTCCCAGATGCTCATGGTTTGATATGGTTTTGGTAGTTTTAATACTATCTTTGGGAACTAGTTTATGAACAATAATGATATTAACAAGAACGGTAGAAAGTTCATAAGAATATTATTCCTGAGATTAAGGACTCATAAACATAACTTACTTGCAAAAAGATTTTGGCAAATTATTTAAGAACGTTGGGAGATTTAATGCCTAATTAAATCATATGTGTATTCATTTAATTAAGACGTCATATTTAAGATAATTAATTACAAATTATAAAAATAAAATTTAATAAAATTAAGTTTAAATTAATTTAAATTAAAAGTTCATACTGTTTAGCGTTTTCCTCCAAATTCAATTAGAAAAGAAGCGAATTACACCTACCGATAATTATATGTTTTTATCATTTGGTTATTTTTTAATTATTTGTTGTTGTTGTTTTATATTAGGTACTCATCATATTTTTACAAAATCGTGAGTAAATGTAAATTTATTTCTTCGACTATATTATCTTGACAACTAAATACAAACACGAACTAGACCAAATGCCAATATTTGTTTCAATTCTATTATTATTTTATTCTCAAAAAAAACATTTTTCCACTACTATAAAATAAACAATACTGTTGTAGTATCTGGATGTGTTCCCTGTAAAAATGACATCTGCAATGCAAGCAGCTGGGATGCTCTTTCAAACATTCAATAATTTTTGTCTACAAAAATTCAACTGAGGACATTCTCTTCTTTAATAAAAAACAGGTGCATGCAAAATTTGTACACAAGGCAAATACTAAATGCATCTTTGGAGCCCCTGTTATTATTAATCATACAATAAACAATAAAAGAAATCGCAAAAAAAAGAACAACTGAATGAATCATCCGAGTGAAAATTAAGATTTTCTCCGTTAATTTTATGCGAAGGAATTGTAAGATACAAGCGTTTATTCAGACAACATTAGGAGAATGGTATTATTATCTAACGTAACATTTCATGTTCCAAATTAATTTATACAATTATGCAAGTGTCTCAACAATTGTAATTTAATCTCTAAGTTGCAACTATAACCAAGTTAGTAACTGCTTCACATTTTCACTACAGTGCGCTAACAGCTTGTATGAATTACAACGATTGTGTATGAAATATTGTCGTCACAGTCGCTTAATTCATTCAATATCGTAACCCAACATTTACTTTTAATTTCATTCAAATTGCTTCAAACAAAATTTAATTAATTGCGTATTATTTTCGAGGTTGTTTACTGAACGAGAAAAAAACCCTGAAAAAAACTGTTCTCACAGCAGAAACATAATAGAAATTATTTACTGCGACGGCTCAAGTGGGAAGAATTACGCCTTCAAGTACGTGATAGCCGTATCAAACAAAAGGAAAAAATTTGACGCTGTCTCGACGCATTACCTGGAGAGTTTAATTGAACTATACAACTTCCTCTTTCATATCATTTGTTAAAATAAAATTGTATGTGTTTCAGTGCACAAAATTTTTACTAGGTAGTTTTTTTATAATTAAAAAAATATGTTTGTTATGCCAATATTTGTGGAAAAACATTTCTAAAAGGAAATAAGAAAACCTACTACTCTTGCTCATCCTGAATACGAAATTAATTCCAAAGTACACTCATCCATCATCTGGTATTTATTTATTTCCACGTAGATATATCGAGCGATCAAGATAGTTTGTAATCGAGTCAAATAAAATGACAAGTCGAAAGGTTAAATTGGCAAATTCAAAAAGACGATGATTATAATAACAAAATTTATAATTTACCTTCAAAAAAGAACGGTACGTCGGCGACTAATTCCAGTCCATTTTGCCGTTTTACCTTTCGACTTGTCATTTTATTTGACGTTTCACGTGAAGTTAGACGTACGTTCTCGGGTGCAACGATGACTCGATTACAAATTTTCTTGATCGCTCGATATTACAATATTCCACCGCATCGCCTCGGTTATTATTTGCGTTATGTGGTTTAATCATATTCGTACTGTCTCCATGCTTGTTATCTCAATGATAACAGTCTAGGCTGTTACAATTTAAGAGCCAGTTTCATAATCGAATTAAAAAAAAAAAACATTAAATTAAATGTTGTTTAAAATGTGCTGATTACTACGGATTTGTTGACAAAAATTTCACATTCTAAACCAACATTAATTTTAAAGTCCTTTTAATTCGATTATAAAACTGGTCCTAAAGAACGGATTATTAACGGACGTTGTTATGAATGTTGCTATACGAAAGGCACACTCGAAGAAAGGCTACTTGCGTCAAATTTGATATTATTTGACATTATGATTTTGAATAATTTTGCCAAAATCTTTTAGTATCACGAAAAATAGTAAACAACATACGTCCGAGACGCATTTTACAGACGCGATTCATAGTAAAATCTCGATTTTACAAACTTCCATCCTGTCTGTTATTTGCTACATATCGCCCTTATGACGTTCATAACTATTTCGGGACAACTATATCAGTATCAGTACATAATACCATGTTAAATTAATAATACACATTTTGCTTTTTTTTTATATAAATAAAATTTCAGCGTGATCTGTGCCTTAATTTTGTAATACTGTAGCAATTGTAATTAAAACAATTAAAACCATAGTTCAAAACGTACAGTCTGTTTTTTCTTTAAATGGAAATTACCAAGTCACCAAGGTGAAAAAATTGGTAGCAGCTTGTCTCCATAGCCACAAATTTTGTTTGTTTTTGTCCCTAGAAATTATATTAAAAAATTATGGTTATGATTTCAAATTGAGATGTTGGCAAAATTTTGACTTTTAGTAATCTTGTGTCCCTCTTTGCTCTTTGAAAGCGCTATAATAAATACCTGAGGACAGGCATCATTACCTAAGGTCTAAGACAGAATTCAATTTTGATAGAAACACACCGCAAGTAAGTACCTACAATGTTGTGGACAAAAATGAAAAGGATGTATATACAGAAAAAAGTTATTTAGCAAAAGATACAAGTAGATATTATGATGATTGGCAATAAATTTTGTGTACCTAATTTATTGAAATGAGCTCAAAGTTGATGCATTTTATAAATTCTTCTTCAGCTTTAGTTTCAAAATTGTTACTTTTTCAACTCGTTCCTCAAAAAACGATGCACAAGACACTAATTGAATTGCGTTCTTTCCGAGGTTCTTTCTCATTCATGTTTATTTAGTATTCTTGTCAATTCCTTACTATTGTTTAGCAAACCTGCATTACAAATTGCGTCTAAGTTTTAACAGACCCTTTTTCTAACTTCCTGCTTGCGAACTATTTGTTTCCAAAAATCTAAAAACTGTTAGCGGTACCGAATTTGTTCCGTTTTTGGTGTTTCGTATCTAAATTTTCTTAGACGGCTTTTTGTGTTGACGTGTATTGACATTGTTTTCAAATTATTTCAAAAAACCGGAACTGCCAACTTCCTTTCTTAAAATAACCATTAATGAATTTACTAGTGGTGCCAACGTTAAGATTGTTTGGCATTTCCATTTAAAAAAAAAACAGACTTTAAAAACACGTTTTATAAATTTGACGCAATGGAAGAAAATGCAATATCAGGAGTTTAAAAAACAAGTTTTTAAAAATGGAGGATACTGAAACCTACCAAAAATGCATTTTTGCATTACTCGACATACCAATTACATCTTCTAAAATTGTGATTAGATTAAACTGATTAATTTAATTAAAATTCTGTACTTATTAAAATGTCAATAAAGATTTTTAACGACTGAGGTTGTTTTAACCCACACATCAATTAAGCACAGAGTTCTAACAAAGCACATTTAACAGTGCGGTATTATGCAAACGTTTCATAATGTTTCAAAACATCCATTTGGTAGATAGAACTAAGTAAAAATCTAGTCGTTGCCTAAAATGTTCTATCCATTATAAATAAACAATAAAAATTGCAGTTATCAAGCGCAAAAACTTCTTTAAATCAACCTGTAAGCCAAAAATCAAGTCTGGCAATTTCGTGACGCGATCTTTCTCAATAAGTCCAAACTTGAATAATCCACTTAGAAAACAAACTCTGGTAACTTTCGTTGAATTTTCATGTCTTTGCAGCTTTGCCTAATTAGACCGGGAATTCTCTAGCAAGGTAGATTCGTATTGTAAATTAGTGCCAAATCTTACATGAAATTTAATCAAAATTTTGTTGTA